CGTGGGGATGGAAACAGTCTGTTACCTTAGCACAGGGCGGCCGCGTGGCCGCGTGAATTCTCCGGCTCTCGCTGAGCTGTGACGCGGACCTGTATGCTTCCCGGTGTGTAAGCTATACCTCACCTAAAAAATAACCTCTGATTTAGAGCTATATGAAAAAAAGGAGAGAACATCAAAAAGAGTTAGTAATATCTTTGCACATTATAAAATCCAAAATCAAGTCATTCTATAATAAAACTAAATAACCAACAATATACAAACAATAAAACCTACATAACTCTCCACATTGTTTATAAAAATGCTTCCATAAAGTTGGGAGTTCTGCGTTCTCATCATGATTTCTCAGCTTTTTTATTTCATTTATTAGGTATTCCCTACTATTACTCGTTTGCAAGCTAGCATTTAGAAAAGCTTCCAAAGCTTTGCTGTCAGGACCGCCAGCAGTGGGGGCAAAACCTGCAACCCCATGGGAAACGGCTAGGTGACAGCGCCGCGGCTCCACGGGTCTCAGTCTAGGAGACTGGGTTTGCTGAACCCTCCCGTCTAAGTAGCTCATTATGAAATGCAATTTAAGCAAGAAAGTATTATAAATGTAGAAAATGTGCCGCCTCCCAATTGCAGGGCTTCAACAGCTCAGCGCAACGTGAGGCTCCTCTAAGTCCTTGCTCAACGGCTTCCAACACTGAACCCCTCCTCTGAGGTTGTAACAGCATTCCTCTCTTCAGCTTACATGTTCTGCAATCACGTTCCAGCACAAAAGCAGGTCCAGGGGGTGTCCTGGAACGTGCCTGCAGGCAGAGCTCCTGTGGCACCTGCCCACTTGTGGACCACCTCACCCTCCTGGCTCCTGGTGTCGCGCAGCAGGGCCCGGGTCGGACCCATCCTTTGTGTTCCTGAATGCAGAGGGTAACTTCACGGCGGAGAGACAAGCTGCTTAGTATTTACTGCCTTGAGTTCCGATGACCTGGAGTCCGTGCTCTTAAAAGGAAGCCTGGGCCTTTCAGAGTGGGAGGCAGGGGGTCAAGAGTTATGTGGAATTCAGGCAAGTCCGAATAAACATGCACAACCACACTTCATCCAGGACAAAGCCGTGTGCTTGGTCCACCGTGAGTGTCACTACTCCTCGTGTAACTGAGCACTTTGTTGACTGAATGTGTATTCTTTTAATTTTCAAGATTCTTTTTTTAAAGTATATACTATATCAAACAGGAACTATGTTTAGCTGCTTGTAACACAGACCAAAAATAATGGAGGCTTTAAAAAGTTCACCTCCCTCTCAGGTAAAAAAAGTCTAGAGGAGGGCCAGTGGGATGGCTCCGTGGGTGACAGGAACCAGGTTCTGCCACTGTCTGTGGGTGGCTTCCACCATCAAGGTCGCCTCAGGGCTGAAGATGGCTGCTGAAGCTCCCATCATCAGGTCTGAGTTCTAGGAAAGCAGCAGGAAGAAAGCTGAATGAAAAGGGCCCTCCCACACCTCCCGTCCCAGGTGACTTCTGGCGGTCCTTCTCTAGAACCTGTCCCTCCACATTCCTCTGTGCTCTCAACCCCACCCAGACATGCACCAGCACACATGTGTACCTGTAAAGTGGGGGTTTCAGCTGCTTACTTCCAAATGACACCCTGTGCATTTCTGCATCTTTCTGCTCCCACGTGCCCTTCCTCGTGGAAACCCCTTCAGGTAATGGCTGTGACCCTGAACTCGGTCTTGGCACAGAGCACACTCTACCCCACGTCCACGCCACACCTCCCTGGCTCCCCTTCATGGGAGTTCACTGCTTCTGCTGCTCCGCCTCGCGCCGTGCATGCGGCTGTTCCGACTTACCTAAGCTACAGGAGAGGCCTACTTTCAACGCTCATGGGTGCTGCCACATTGATTCCCAAAGAAGCTAAAACACTTTATAACTGTAAGTACTGTTTTCCTCCACCTCCCACCAGCAACAAACGACACGCGCTTTCCAGAGCCTCGCCGCCAGCGTGTGGGGTGAAGCGCCCTGGCTTCTGGCCCATTACCATTAAGAGCTAGAGCACCTCCATGTTTCTTGCCATTAGGATTTGGGCCTCCTATCCATACAGTTGTCCTGTGTTTCTGTTTGATTGCTGTTCTTTCCTGGAAATTTTTAAAAGGTTTCTGTACAGTATACATTAGCCCTCCGTCATCTACATCACAAGCATTTTCCAACCAACAGCGGCCAGGTCATGGCATCTCTGGCCGTACGTTCTCCCACATTGACCACGTCTGCCTCTGCCTTCCTGAGGAGCCCCTGGTTTCCCAGTCTAGGCAAGGCTCCCCTGCCCTGCGAATAGGAGTCAATCCTCGGGCATTTTTTCATCCACAAACATCTTAAGGTAATTTTATCCAATTCCAACAAGATACCTCACTGGGACTCCTGCTGGAGCTGCACCGTATCTGCATATCAACGACACCTTTCACGGTATAGAGTCTCCCACACATGCTTCCACCTGCTCGGGTTTTGTGTCTTTCAGTAAGATCTGTCTTCTTCACACGGGTATAGGCCCTACACCTTTACCCTGAAACATGTTTATTTTCTCACCACGCACACAGAACGTTTTCTAGGCTCTTACTGCCATGGAGATAAGCTAATGACTCTGGATCTCTAGCCTGCACCCAGAAGCCTTCCCCAAGCATCTTGTGATACGCAGACAGGCTGTGCAGCAGAAGCCCACACAGCAGGCCCGACGCGGGGCTCCTCGGGAAGTGCCTGCAAGGCTGGCCTCACCTGGCACCCAGGAGCATCCGGGAGCTGAGATTTCGGGAGGGTCCCCGCCGTCCTGACTGCTAGGATGGCTCACTGTGCCTGAACTGTCTGCGGAAACACTTGAGGTGTATGCTGAGCCGGGAGACGGGAATCCTGGTACACGTGGGGCAGAGGGTGCCCCTGTGACCAGCCTCTGACACAAACCCTGTGCACCGAGACATCAAGGAGTTTCCTGGCAGACACTGTCGCATACAAGTTGTCACAGCTCGTTGCTGGACGAATTGAACACAACCCATGTGGCTTCACCAGAGGAGGACTCCTGGAATTGCCCTGCATGCCTCTTCCCTTTGGAGCCTCTTACCGCAGGAAATCTGGGCTGAGAGACCACCACACCCGAGTCCCGCGAGTCCTGCCGGTGAACCGCCACGCCTGGAGGTGGTCCTAAGGATCCCAACACACAGGTACACGTCACATCGGCAGAAAGAGTTGGACCCCGGCCTAAGCTGGGTCAGTCACTCCACCTGCCAAGCTTACCGCATCTTAACGACAGGGACCGCGGACACCCTAGTGCTGCTCCGCAATCTAAGCGAACACTGGCTGCTGGTTTCCGGTTTTCATTCCTTTAAGTGGCACCAGCCCCCGACACTGTGGTTCAGCTGCCAGTCCCCACGGCGTCAGCTATGAGCAACGGCAGGGGCATGAGCTGCCCCTCCATGCAGGGGCTGCCCGTCTAAGCCTCTCCTCCCCGGACAGTCGTGGGCAGGCCCTCCCCCACAGAAAAGTAATCCCTCCCCAAACTACTGTGCGTTCTTCTCAAACCCGTATGTGAATATCAAATAGGTGTCAGGTCGCTGAGATTCAGAAATTAACACGATACACACTCTGCCCTTCAGAGACCTGTAACACAACGTGGAAAGTCCCCTCGTAGGAGGCTTACCACTTAGTAAGGGCTCGGTCATTTAACCAAAATCCCCACAAAGCAGCCCAAAACGCTTGTGAAATAGATGAACTGTTTAATCCTGGTAGCATAAGCAAATGTGGGCGACGTAGGGGAAGGGATACTTAATTCTGCCCAGAGACTCACAGACAGCTTCACAGGCCAAAGGACGCCTGTGTGGGCTGCACAGAGGAGGTTTCACCGGGGGGTCAGCAGGGGCAGGACTCAGTCCAAGCAGAGCAGTGCATGTAAGGAGAGGATGTCAAAGTATACAACATGCTCAGGAAATGATGAGAAACTGCCCTGCAGGCCCAGGCCCGGGCTGCAAGGCCAAGTGGTGACACAACAGCCACTGCAGGCTGCGGGCAGGCTGGACCAGAGGCTCCCGCTCAGCCAGGGAAGCGCGTGCAGGCTGGACCGGAGGCCCCCCCAGCCAGGGAAGCACGTGCAGGCTGGACCGGAGGCCCCCCCAGCCAGGGAGATGCGTGCAGGCTGGACCAGAGGCCCCCCAGCCGGGGAGGCGTGTGAAGGCTGGACCGGAGGCCCCCCAGCGGGGGAAGTACGTGCAGGCTGGACCGGAGGCCCCCCCAGCCAGGGAAGCAAGTGCAGGCTGGACCGGAGGTGCCCCCAGCCGGGGAGGCGCGTGCAGGCTGGACCGGAGGCCCCCCCAGCCGGGGAACCAGGTGCAGGCTGGACCGGAGGCCCCCCAGCCAGGGAGGCGGCATTGCTGAGGTGATGTGCACCTGGGTCACAGAGCAGGGCGGGGCAGCAACCAGACATGGAGGAGACCTCAGCGACAAGGCTCCCTGCCCCCGGACACCACTTTGACGACATGTGTCTGAGTCTGCACACGCTAGTCGGCGTTTGCCAGCAAGGATGGATTTTCAGGGGAGAAGCATTTTCTGGAAGGAACTTCACTAAGTCTGTATAATTCCCTGTTCAACTTTCTAAACAATGTAGTGAGTTTCTTTTCCTTTTTCTTTTAATCTCCTCTTTCTTTTTTTCCTCCTAAAAGATCTTCCACTGGGGTTAACTCTCTTCCAGAGAACATCTGGGGCGGTGGGTTCTAGCTACGGTTTTATCAGTCAGAGCTTCTGTCCTTGTGGGGTTTTTCTGCAGCCATTTTTCCCACACATTAGATTTTATAAAGATGACTGTTCTATCCATTGTTAGACAGTAACAACTGCCACTGAACACGGCTTCAGGACTGACGATCCCTACCAGGCTTCCTTCTCCCTAATGTCACCAACGAGATATGACTCTTCAGTTCTTTACCTGGAATCCATCTTACCAGCCCACTACATTTCATGCTGTAACTCATAACAGATACTGTCAGAAAACTTACCAATGACCGAGGCCGTGTCCGCTTCCTGGCTAGTCCAGAGGGTGGCCATATCAAGGTCAAGAGTGAGGCGGTGAAGTGCCCTTCAGCAGGGCTGAAAACAAGGAGATGGCCCGCCTCCCGTGTCCCTCACCAAAACAACACGAACAAAAGCACAAAGCCAGGGGCCTGTCCCCATCAGGCGGGGTTCACTGGAGGGCAAGACAACAGGAAGAATCTGGCCTCAAAAACACCAGGTTCTGCACACGTCTCAGTTCTTTATGCCCACAGCCCTGAGTGTCAGGAAAACTGAGGTACCCGCCCCCCCACAGGCTCACCACACGTGCTTAACATCACCACCACCGACAACTGAAAGCCAAACCACGAGGCACAAACGGTGACAGGGTGACAGCGCAGGCTCCGGCCGCTCCAGGGAGCCCCGGCCGGGGCTTCCCTCACTCCCTGCACCACCCAGCGGGAAGGATCTGTGCAGGCAGGGCCACAAAGCCAGACCCGGGCTCTGTCACCCTGGAGGGACAGCCACATGCTGAGGGCAGGCCCCCGGGGGATCACAGTGGGTGACCTTTCCGCGTGCCGTCTGATTCGCCGTGCTGCTGTTTTTGAGGATGTCTGCGTTTATACTCAAGAGGGCGGCTGGTCCGTGGTTCTCCAGTGCTGTCTGTCTAGCTTAGGCAGCCGGCTAACGCTGACCTCACAGCACAGGTTAGGAAGTGCTCCCTCCTCCTCCTCCTTGGGAAGTTTCAGGAGGATGAGTGCTAATCCCCCGTGACTGTTTCGCACGGTGTCTGCTAGCGGAGCCACATGTTCCTGGACTTTTCTTTGTTGGGAGGTTCTAACCTACGCGGTCTCTCCTTGTGATGGTCTGCTGAGATTTTCCGCTTCTTCCTGAGTGTTTCTAGAAACTTGTCTATCTCACCTAGACTACCTAGTTTGTTGGTGTAGAATTGTTCACAGCAATAAATCTTACAATACGTCTAACTTCTGTAAGGTTGGTAGTAAAGTCCTGACTTAACTGTGCTTTCTGTTCTCTGTTGAGCTGAACCTGGACCTCGACCTCACTCCAGGTGTAAAGATTCAGTTCAGGAGGGATCAACAACTGGAGCTAAAACTATAAAACTACTGGGAGAGGGGAACACAGGAGTAAATCTTCACGATCTCCGATTTGGCAATAGAGTCTTTGATTTAACACCAAAATGAAAAATAGCTGAATAAAACCTACTCAAAAGTAAACCCTTTTTGCATCAAAGGACATCATCAAGAATTTTAAAAGACCACCTACAGAGTGGGAGAAAACACCTGCAAACCACGTATCTGATGAGGCGTCAACATCCAGAATACACGAAGAGCTCCCACAACTCAACAACAAAAAGCAAAACCACCAACTGTGAAACAGGCAGAGGACTTGAATATAAGACACACAAATGGCCAACAAGTACGTGGAAAGATGCTCAACATCACTGGTCATTAAGGAAATGGAATGAAAACCATGGGGAGATACCACTTCATACCTACCACAGTGGCATCACTCTAAGAAAAGGGGGGGTTGGTGACACACAAGTACCCCTTGCTGGTGAGGGTGTGGAGAGATGAGAGCCCCCAGACACCGCGGGTGGGAATGTAGAATGGTGGGAAGCGGTCTGGCGGCTCCCCATAAAGGTAAACACAGAGCTACCGTACGACTCGCAACGCTGGCCCGAGGTGTGCACTCGAGAGAAATAAAGACTCTCATCCACACTGAAAGCGGGACGTGAGTGTTCACAGCAGCATTATCCACACCAGCCAAGAGGTGGAAACAACTCAAACGCCCATCAGTGGATGAACAAACAAACCGGTCCTGCTGTAGACAAGTAACAGAAAATCATTCAACCACGGAAAGGAGCAGAGTACTGATGCATGCTACAGCCTGGACAGACCTCAAACACACATTATGTTCAGTGAGCGAAGCAGAGGCCCCACACTGCGTGAGCCTCCTCCGTGAGGTGCCCAGGGTAGGCAAACCCTAGAGACAGAAGGCAGGCGAGCAGGTGCGAGGGGACGGGTAAGCAGGAAATGGGGGAAGGGGCAACAGGAGTGACTAGTGAACGGGTATCGGGCGTTTTTCTGGGTAATGGAAACAGGTGGAAAGGAGAAACACTGTGAATACAGTCAACACCCTGAATTGTACACTTTAAAATGGTTAATGGTAAGTGATGTGAGTTTCCTCTCAATTTAAAAAGTAAAGGGCTGGAGAAGAACACAGCATCCTAACACAAACCAGAAGAGAGCTGCAGCACCCGTGCTAACTTTAGGCACGGAGCCTTGAGACGGAGGAGACGATTTAGGATGAAGGAGCACGTTCGACGATGAAAAAGATCAGTCCTCCAAGAAGACGTAGCCAGGGTTAACATGCACGCGCCTAACGACAACAGTGTCAAAACCCCTGTGACCAAGACTAAGAAGACTTAGGAGAAACAGACTCGTCACATGTAAGGCTGGAGACGTCAACGTCCTCCCACCACCAGCAGGATCCGGCCAGTGGAGAGTCAGTAAAGGCCCCGTCAATCAACTGGATTTAACTGGCACCTCACAGAACACTTCACCCAACAGCAGCAGAGCACACATTTTTTTCACGCTCACACACAACGTTCACCACAATGGACTGTATTCTGAGACATAAAACACACCTTAACACGTTTAACAGAACTCTCAGAGCACAGGGATATTACACCAGAGGTCAACAGCAAAGACAGCTGGGAAACCCCACAGTATGTGGAGATCAAACAGCACGTTTCTAAATAACATGAGCCAAATGACAAAATTCAAGAGAAATTGAAAGTATTTTGAACTAAATGAAAATTAAAACACAACTTACCAAAATACGTGGCACGTGGCACAATTTACAGCACTGAAACACTTACGCTAGAAAGAAGAGAGTTCCAACATCAATCCTGTAAGCCTCCACTTGGAGAAGCTAGAGAAGAGCAACAAACCCACGAGCAGAAAGCGCAGAGAAAAGAGGATCAGAGCAGCAAGTACGAGACGGGCAAAAGCAGAGAACACTCGTGCGGGCGGTTCTCTGAAAAGATCGGTGAAACTGGCAACTCTAGCCAGGCTAACCAAGGAAAAGCAACAAACGTAACCGCCGCTGATGCCACGGCATTAAAAGTAACAGAGGAGTATTAGCGACTCACGCGCTCGCTCGCAGCCCTCTGCGAGCCCTCCCTCCGCCTGACTCGGAGAAGCCTGCTTCTGCCTCACCTCCTCAGCATTCCTGCTCCGGCCTCGGGGGCCTCTCAGCTGGTCCCCAAGTACGCCAGGCACGTGCTGCGTCCTCAGGGCCCCGGCATTTTCCTCTGTCCAGAACACCTGCTCCCCAGATACCCCCCGGCCAGACACCTGCCTGCCGCGCCCAGAAAGGCTTTCCGCGGCGGCTGCCCCGCCCTCGCGCGCGCCCGCTTGTTTCCGTAAGTAGCGTTTCGCCGGACACAGCCCGCCTCACTCCGCCCGCGGACCACCTCAGCTGCTTCCGCGCTGGCCGCGGC